TAAATGTTATTTTGAAGGAAAAAAACCCCATAACCCTATTTGTGGGTACATGCAATGATTTGGCTGGTCCTTTGGAGTCGGTTCCCAGGCTGCTCCTGTGGGTCCTGCCTTATCCAGCCCCCTGGCTTTTGTCCACTACAGTGACCGATTAGCGCTGCTCCAGGTCCGGGCCATCCTCCAGCAGCTGGGTCTGAACAGCACCTGCGATGACAGTATCCTGGTCAAGACTGTGTGCGGGGTGGTGTCCAGGAGGGCTGCGCAGCTGTGTGGCGCAGGCATGGCTGCCGTGGTGGATAAGATCCGTGAGAACAGAGGGCTGGACCATCTGAACGTGACTGTGGGAGTGGATGGGACGCTGTACAAGCTTCATCCACAGTGAGTCGGGCTTCTGGTTGGGATGGGCAGAGCTTGCTGGACTGGCAGGTTCCGTTTAGGGTTATGGGGTATCGGGGTGTGGTTCCCATCAGAGAAATTCCTCACTGGGACACAGCCAGCCTGAAGGCAGTGCGTTCAAGGACTGGGACCTGTCTGGGACAAGGTAATGAGCCACTTGTAGAGTCTGTCTCGTTTGCCCAGAGAAGTGGCTTCACTGCCAACTCACACCAGTGGCATGGCATGACCCTCTCCTCGCTCCTCCTGGGCCCCCTTAGGTGGGGAGTGTGGAGGGAGAACAGAGGGCAGGGGGTGTGGGCTTACCCATCAGCCTGGTTAGCTGCAGCTGAGCCGGAGAGAGGAAATGAGGAGATTGTCTTATTCACCTGCTGAATCAGAGTTTGTCGGGACTTGGAAGGGCAGGAGCACTGGTCTTCATGGCAGGGAGGGATAGGAAGTGGCCTCCTTTTGGTCAAGTGTCTGACACGCTGTGCCAGAGAAGGACATGTGACCTCATCTGCTGTTTGATCGACTATATGTCCCAAAGCTTGGCTCTTAGAAATAGAGTGACCATATTATTTATTGTCTAAACTGGGTATGTTTGCCAGTGAAAAGAGTACTACTGATAATTACTCTGGGACCATAGGCAAACTGGGACCATCTCAGATAAACCAGACCACAGTGTCACCCTACTTATAAGCCACACCCCACTCAAGGTAGACATTACCTGCTTACCTCATGGCCATGGCTTGGAATGGAACCATCTGTCTTGCTCCATCCTCACCTCTGTCTCTGCACCTTAATACCTGTCCTTACTGTCAACTGAGGCAGGACATGGGTGTGGTTTAGAGCTAGGCTTTGGAGCATACATTGTCAGACTTAATCCTGGCACCATCATTTAGAAGCTGTACTCAGTTGCTTAATTGCAGAATCTCCTCTTCCTCATGGGATAATAGCCACTGGCAGGACTAGAAACTATGTATAAAAAGTACAGGGCACCTGCTAGGTGCTCAACAAAGGGTAATTAATACTTCTCAGAGCCCCATCATCCCCAAGCATCCTCCGCCTGGCCCTGTCTTTCATTTTCAGCACAAAATGCAAGGACCTAGAGTCACCTCTCATTTCAGAGATGATCCTTCCCTGGGGGGCTGCCCTTTCTTGGCTGTAGCTGCTGGATGCCACCAGGCTGTTGCTGGTGGTGGGCTGGGGGTCTCGGAGAGCTGCAGCTGGGGGTGGGGAATGTTCACTCCCAACTCGACCAGCATGGGCTGCCTCAGTGGTCCGTGCCTAGGCCCTGGCATCCTGCTTCATTTTTGGGTCCCCAGGAATTCCAGAGTGGAGGATGGGATATGTGTGTCTGAGTTACTCATGCCTGAGTCCTTATAAGCCACACAGAGTAGCTTGTTCTTAGCTTCTCAGTTCTGCCTCCCTGCTGAAAGTCGTGATAATAGGATGACTGGAATCCACATTCCTCCCAACCAGTCTCAGTTACCCACTGTGCTTTTAATCGGCAGCCTCTGTCTCGTTTGCCCTCCTGCTTGTTGGGGACCTCAGTGTTTGCAGGTGGGCCCTGCAGCTCTCCTCGTCTTCCTCTGCCTACCTTCTCCTGTTTTTTGTCTCTTTCAGCTTCTCCAGAATCATGTACCAAACCGTGAAGGAACTGTCACCAAAGTGTTCCGTGTCCTTCCTCCTGTCTGAAGATGGGAGTGGCAAGGGGGCTGCACTCATCACGGCCGTGGGTGTACGGATACGAGAAGCGAGCAGCTAAGAGCCCAGGCCCCCCAGCCTGCTGCCTTTCCAGCACTTCTTTCCTGGAGCGGCGACCCCCTCTTCCTCCCGGCCAGCTGTGCTGGGACACGCCGCTGTCACTGGAGCCCGCCACCACTGCGGCGGGAGGAAAACAAACCCAACTACTGGCGTATAACGTAGGGTACAAAATAGAGTGTGTGCTGTTGATAATATCTCTCACCCGGACCCCCTCACCTGCCTGCCACTCTGCATGATCTGATTTCGACCTGGATCCCACGTGTGAATTGTCGTGGCCTCCGTTTCTACTGTCTGCCATCATCCAGCAGAGTTATTTATTGGCTCAAGATGAAAAGTCACACCACCTGACAGGCCTTCTGGGCCTCCGAAGCCCGTCCTTGGGGTCACCTCCCCTGTGTGAAATGTATTATCACCAGCAGACACTGCCGGGACTCCACTCTTAGGGCACGGCCTGAAGGGCTAGTGTGGACATAGTGTTAGCTGCTTCTTCCTGTCCCAACACCCACTGTGGCCTGGTGTCCCATCGGGATGTGTCAGTGCCACTAAATTGTGTGTCCGTGGAACCAGTCCTAGCCACGTTGTGACACTCTTGCATTCTGTTTGTCTCGTGGGGGGAGGTGGGCAGTCCTGCGGGAACATGTCTTGTCTCCATTTGAGTAAAAGGAACCAACCAACCAACAATGCCGTCACTGGAATCTGCCATCGCTTCTGTGAGCCATGTTGTATGACCTAGTAAACTTTGTACCAGTTCAAAGACCTGAGTGATGCTTATTGGCCGGGAGGTGGGGGGATGTCTTGGGATGTGGTGAAAACCAAATACTGGGGATTTTTGTGGCCTTCTGGGTGGGGAGAGGAGAGTTTAAAATAAAGATTATGGCCTTTGGCCCCCAGCCTTGGTTCGGCACCAAGACTTTGATACTGTGTCCCTGCATAATATCACACACGTAGCCTCGCCTTATCTCCCAGCACCTGCCCTGCCAGATCCCTATTCTAGTCCCCAGTGGAGAGGCTCCTGCAGCCCCCACCCCAGCACCTCTAAGACGGTAAAAGATGTAAGGCCTCTGTTCTCCAACAACCCATCCTCCCACTTGTAGTTGGAACAAAGAAAAAGTCAACTTGGCTTCCAGGAGCTGCTTGAGTTTAATGAGAGGACAGTGCCACCCCAAGCAGATCCTGCCCTTCAGCTCCCTCTTTGCCAACCCCAAGATGACGGGGAAAATACGCCCCCTGCCCTAACGAGGATGAAGTCTTGAAGCAGCCCAGGGAGGCAGAGTTCCTGCACTCTCCGCCTCCCCGATCTTAAATTGGCCCCATCTGTAGGAAATTAGCTTTTATCTGATTCTTTTCCTTCTACTCCCACCTCAACCTCAGGAGATTACCGTTCCATCCCATGGCTGCCATTTGGGATTCTCTCCACAGCCCTTTGGTGGATTACACATCCATCTGCATCTGGGTGCCCTGTGATGTCCCAAGCCATGACTACAGCTTCCTCCAGGATTAACTGCATGCCCACTCGGTTTGGTCAGATCAGAGTCCCTTTATTTGGGGTACTGATGGTGCCGGTGTCTACGGCACAGTGGTGTTTATGGAGAACACAGATAACATTAAACTTTCTGATGTGCATTTACAGTGTTATGTGGTTCTTCTGGATAGGCCCTGGGGTGTGGAGGATGAGCTTGCAAGAGAGGAGAGGTGCATCCCTGGGGTGGACTGGGCCAGGCCTGGAGCGTTCTAGGAGTTGGGACAGTTGGCGCTCTTTTTGCTGCAGAGGTGAGGGTGGGAGCTGTGTTGCTGATTTATTGGAGGCTTTTGTGTGAAATGGCTGGCATAGGAGTAATAAAAATCATGGCTACTGTTTATTACACACTTAATCTGTGCATGGCCTGCTGGTTTACAGGCATCGCTTCCATTGATTCTCGGAACATCCCTGTGAGGTGGTTTTGCCATTAGGCTGAGGAAGAGGCTGAGGGTCAGCGTGATTTGTCTGGGGAAACACAGCTGATTCTTTTGAATCTTAACCAGTGTCTACACTGCGCTGTTTCTAAGTTCTTAGATTTTGAGGGAGAAAAGCCCTGGATTGACTCACAGCCATCGATTGGGCTTGGCAAAATAAGAAGCTTCCTCCTTCTGTCTTTAGCTTTAGTAATGAATCAGTGTCATGGTTGCCTACTGCCCACAGATATGTTTCTTTGGGTTTAACCAGAGTTTGTAAAAATGTGAACCAAATTTAACAAGTCTGTAGGTTTCACATACTACTCTGGGTTTCCAGCTTCTCTTGAAAGATTTAGAAGCTCTGGCAACAGTGGGCTACCATTGCCACAGGGCAACATTTGTCTAGAGCTGAGCAGCTGCCGTGCCCTTTAGATGCCTCTCCCCTCCCATTCCCTATCACCTCAACACTGAGGCTAGAAGATAGTTACCTTCTATCATCATGTTTGCAGCTTTTCTTTTATACTGGATCCACCCCTTTAGATGCCTCTCCCCTCCCATTCCCTATCACCTCAACACTGAGGCTAGAAGATAGTTGCCTTCTATCATCATGTTTGCAGCTTTTCTTTTATACTGGATCCAATTATTCATTATGTTGTGTGCCCCCAGGAAGGCATTGGAGCTTGCACTCCTAGACTAGATAAGCATTAGCTCACACTGTCTTCTCCGAACCTTATCGGACCCCTTGAAATGCTCTTTGAGGTGGTGGCTGAGTCTTCTTAGAGTCCGCATCCTTTGTAGAGTCCTGACCCCATCTTGTTTCCACTGGTGTATTGAAGGGTGGGGCATGGGCCAAACTTTTACATCTCGTCCTCTCACCTGGCCACTTCTCAAAGGGTGCTAAGCCTCACCCTGAAGCCAGGCACAAGGCTTTAGGGTTCACTAGGCACCCCGTCTTGGGGACCCCCAGCCTGTCCATTGGTAGCTTCAGAGGGAGCCACATCCCCAGCCGTAAGCAAAACCTCTTTGGTGTGACACCTGTTGACCCTCATGGAGAGGGATGGAGTGTGGATCAGCTCAAGCTTATCTTCCTTGGTTGGCGTGACCCATGGGCAGCAACGGAAAGCAAGCCGGAATCCAGAGCGAAACCTGGGGGAGGGAGAGCCACCTTGAGCAAGGGAGTGAGGGGTACAGGAGCCATCATGTGGCTGCCCCACCCCAAGAGACTATCTCCCTTCCAGAGGAAAGTCACTGCCCCAGTCCAAAGAGCCTACCGTTGCTCAGTGTCTCTTGAAAGAGGCATTCTTTAGTGGATTTGATTTTTGGAAACAGCCAAAAGTATTTTGGAGCTAAATCTAGTGATTGAAGTGGGTGATAAAGCTGAATTAGACCATTTGTTATAACAAACAATAAAAAACCAATTTTATAATTAGTATAAAAACAAGATTTTTATATAAACAAAATTATTATAAGAAGATTTTCTTGTTAGACTTGTTTTCTTGCTTCTAAAGGAGTATTCAAAGAGGAGTCTGTTTAAAAAAAATTGGGGCTTTGGCAATGCTGGTGAAATAAGGCTGCTCTCCCAAGGAACTGCTTTGAAAGAATATTCACACATGGAACTACCAAGTGTTGCTTGCAAAATAAACAATTCTCCCCCTGGCAGCAATGAAGGTCCGTGTGTAAACAGGAGTTAAGGGGAGGCAGAAAGAGAACGCTGCTGCTCCGAGTGGGGCAGAAATGAACGAGACCTTGTGCGTGAGAGCGGGGAAAGAACCGTATTGTCTCTTCCTGGGGAGGCGGGCTTCCGTGTCCCAGAAGAGCCCACCTTACTTTGGCTCCTGACTTGTAGCTCCACAGACTCCATGGTAGGGCTCAGCAAGTGCCTATTTGTGAGCTCAGTGCCCCTCATACCCACTCTCGACATGTCACAGCCCAAGCTCCAGTCATCCTCCCCACCCCGGCCAGCACAGTCCCCTCCTCTGCAGTCTTCACCATCTCAGTTCCTGACAACTGCTGGCAGCTCCATCCTTCTGACTGTCCAGTCAGGAGTTGTCCTTGACAACTCATACTTGCCACCTTCCCTCCCTCAAATTCTGTTGGCAAACTCTACTTTAGCAATATCCAGACCCCGACTACATGTCACCTGGTCTAAACCAGATCTCTCCCCTGGATGACTGCAGTGCCCTCCCTGAGGCCACCTCCCTGCTTCTCCCCTTCCCCGCTATGGTCTAGTTCCAAGGCAGCTGCTGGACTGATTTCTTTTGAAAGGTAGGTCACAGCAGGTGTCTCCCCTGCTTAGCCCTGCGGCGGCTCCCCACATCAGAGTTTAAGTCCAAGTTCTCACCTTGACCACAGGGCTGTTGCTCTGGCTGTTCCCTCTGCCTGGAACGTGGCTGCAGGGCTGACTCAGTCCCTCGTGTCTTTGCTCAAGTGCCACCCCTATGCCTGCTACCCGAGTCCCTCAGCACTTCCTGTCCTCCCGTCCCCGGTTCTGGTGTGTCTGCTCCCCATAGTGCTTATCACCTGTCGCACTGTGATTTCCTTATTATTTTGATTTGTCTGTCTGTCCTGGCTGGAATCTGAGCTCCCCGAGGAAAGGGATCTTTGTCCTTGCTCACGGGTGTATCCCAAGTGCATGGGACCGTGCCAGGCACAGGGAGCCACTTGGTGAGCATTTTCTGAATGAATAAAGAATCCTGCCAAGAATACCTGCCCTACTTTACAGCTGGTATCATCAGATACCGAACGATTCAGAAGTGATTTTAGGATCTTACAGAGTGCTGGGCTGTTGTTCCTACTCCCAGAGACTATTTCATTAGGTCACAGGAGAGCGATCAACATGCATGGAGGGTGGCCCCTAGCTGGTGTGACAGTCCCTGTCTCCAAGTTCTCACTTTCATAGTCTCATGAAAGAGAAATGTGTGACGTGGGAAAAAGATTCCGGGTGTTGGAGATCCCGGCTTCCAATGGAGTCCTGGCTCCATTGTTTGCTGTATGAGTTCAGGAGAGTTTTCCTTTCTGAGACTCAGTTTCCTCATCTGCATAATGGGAATAACACCTACCTCTCTACCATTATTTACTTACTTCTCAGGCAATAGAGGGTTCTGGCACCCAGTAAGCATTCAAAAAAATCATAGTTCCTCATTTCCTTCTGGCCTGCCCCAGGTGGGTGGGACGTCTGAGCAACAAAGACCCTAATGGCATTATGACACCTGGGCAGTGAGGTGATAAAAGGCACGAACAAAGAGGCCCGGGGCCAACCTCACCACGTCACTGTCTTGCTGAGGCCAAGATTCTGTGTCCACCCCTCATCTCCTCTCACCTGGCCCCATCTTCCGGGTAATCTCTACAGGGGCTGGGGTTCCTGCCCAACTCACGGCCTCCCACCTCTCCAGGTGCCCCAGAGCAAGTGCTGGACCCTCTCTGGGACCATCTGAGAACCAGATGATGTCATAGGGAGGAATGAGATCCTGGCCCCCTTCTTCCTGGCTGTCTCTGCCAAGGTCACTTTCCAGCTGCCCCGAAAGCCCCTTAAGGACAAGAAATACACTGTCATCTTTCCAGAGAGCAGCCTGCCCCATCCTCGCACTGGCCCCAGCCTCCTAGAAGTGCTTCAAATCCCTGGGGTTGGGCTGCTCACGTGGTCCCAGGAAAATCCTCAGTTGGAAGCTCTCAAAACTGTCAGGACAGATGTCAGTCCCTCCCTCCCTCATCTGGCTCTCTGTCCGTCCTGCCTCCCTCTGCACTCTCCCCTTCCTCCATCTCTCTGGCCCTCTCTTCTCTCTTCTCCTTGTCCCAGACATAGACTCCAAAAGAGACAGCAGGAACAGACAGATGGTGAGAGCTATGGCCTGGGCAAGGGGACAAGGTTTGGGGGAGGAGGTGGGGCTCAAGCTAGGCCTGGGCCAGAGCAAGGATTGTGCTGTGAACTGACTGTGGGGGTGGGTGACAGCAGGGCTCAGGCTCAGGCAGGAACAAGGCTGGAGGTTTGAGCTGAGCCCAGACGGAGCCCAGCTGTGGGGTCCTGGGGGTGGAGGAGAGGGGCAGGGTGGGACTTACCTGTGGTTGAGGCAGCAGTAGATGATGGGATTGTACATGGTAGAGCTCATGGCCAGCCAGAAGAGTGCCAGGTAGACCTGCTGGATGAACTTGTGGTAGTAGATGTCCTCCTGGAAGTTGCCCAGGATGAAGTAGAGGTGGTAGGGCAGCCAGCAGACGGCAAATGTCACCACCACCAGCACCATGGTCTTCACAAACTGCTCTGGGAGAGGCGCAAGTCACTCTTCAGCTCCCAAGCCCCAGGCCCCAAACCTCCGAGGGCAGGTTTGGGGTGCCCCTCCTGCCAGCCTGGGAAGCCTTCCCCGGACAGACCCCACCATCTACCTCTGCTGCCTCGGTCCCCTGGAGCGTCTGCTGCCCAGATGCCGCTGAGCACATCCCTTGGGGTCTTTGCTCAGGCCTGTCCCTCTGCCCACACTGTCATCCTTCCTTAGAAGTCCTCACTCTTAGAGGTTCAGTTCAGTGGCCACCTCCCCAAAAGGTGTCCCAGATCCCTTCACTCTGAGCAGCTCTCCTTCCTGGAGAGTGGACGAACTCTTACTCCTAACCCCATTCTTAGGGAAGCCCCTGTATCATCTATGAGTTCCCAGGCTACACTCTCCCTGGGATCTGTGTCTGCCACACCCCTTCTGTCCATGGGCAGGGAGGCTCCAACTGGGGACCTCCAGCCTCTGCCCAGGGCCATCTCCCTGACCTTTTCCCCTTCATAGCCGGACCTCTGCAGGCATATTCCTGCATGAAGGATGGGGAGCATGCCAGGGACAGAAAACGGAGGCCAGCTCTCCATGAGGAGGGACATCCAGATGGGGTGCCATGTCCAACCACCCCCCTGAACCGCCTTGTGAAAAATGCCTAACACTGGATGAGAAGCTGTGACTTTGGCCTGGCTGCATGATGTGATTAATCCATCACCTCCCTGGTGGCCGAGCAGGAAGGTGGTGCGGCAAATCTAAGCTCTGACTAGGAGAGGGAGAAAGAGGTCTGGAGCATTGAGAGCTGCATCGCAACTCTTGGGGGGCTCCGGATGGTGGGGAGAAGGGGGGACACTGTCCCTTCAGGCAGAAACTGGAGACAGACTTGGTGCAGCTGGACAACAATCTGGTCCTCACCATCTCTGAAGTCTGTAGCTCCAGCATTTGAGGAGTCTCCCGTGAGTCTACCTAGACACCTCCTGTAGTTCTGCAAGGCTTCTTAAATTCAATGTTCTGGTCATTCAAAAAGCCTAAGATTTTAAGGTGCTATCATTCTCAGGTTCTTGGAGGTATCTAAAATGTTGTGGGGCTTTAGGATTCCCCGATTCCCCTAACATTCTGGGGAGTTCCTTTAACTTTGTATTTGGCCGAGGACCAAAGGCAGATCCCCCCCTCCAGGAAGCAACGAGTCCAGGCTCTGGCTCCAGGCTTGGTTGGCACCAGGGGAAGTTACGGCGGGTCCTGTCTCCTCGGCGCCCCCTGGCGGGCGGGCCCTGAGCCGGCAGGAGCGGCTCCCCGAGGCGGGCCCCGCCGTGCCCTTCCTCCGCCCCGGCCGCAC